TGAGCGCCGACCTCTGGCACCGGCGCCTCGGCCACATCAATCCACGTGCTATGGAGATTTCGCGGCGCAACGCCGCTACAGGCGTGAAATATGACGGACCTGTATCCCCGTGCGACAACTGCCACATCACGAAGCACAAGAAGGCTCCCGTCCCGAAGAAGACCAGCCGTGTCCTGACCAAACCAGGCCAACTCGTCCAGTTCGACAACATGGGACCAATCGACCCGCCTGCGAAGTACAACGGACGCACCTACTCCTACGTCGCCAAAGCGATCGACATCTTTACCAGAATGCGGGAAGTGTACCTACTGCGCCACAGGACCGAAACCACGCAAGCTCTGCACGCCTAAAACATGCAAGTAGCATCTGAAGGCTACCGCATCGAGGTTCTACGCTGTGACAAAGGGGGAGAGAACACTGGGGAAGAAATGAGCAACTTCTGTAGGGAGTCTGCGATCAAGCTGGATTCGCCGCGACCAACACGCCCCAAGAAATCGGAGTGTCTGAAAGCGATGGCCAGACACTTGCGGCTGTGACTCGAGCTCTGCTGCGCGATGGGGACTTTCCAAAACACATGTGGGGGGAAGTCATGATGACTGCAGCATACCTGACCAACAGGACCCCACACGCGGCGCTAGGGGGAGCCACGCCGTATTCCAAGATGTACAACACAACCCCGGACCTTTCTCGACTTCGTGCCATCGGCGCCCGCGCGTTCGTTCATCACGAGCGATACAAGAAAAAGCTAGGCGACCGGGCCTTTGAAGGCAAGCTCTGCGGTTACGGACCTGACAGCAAGACGTACCGGATACACGTGGAGGCCAAAGACAAGGTCTACCAGAGCCGGAACGTGACTTTCATCGAGACTCCACCCAACACCATCCTCATCACGGGCGGAAACAAGAAGATCGTCAACAGGAAAACGAAGGAACTCATGGACAGCTTCCAAATGACAGACATTGGAGAGGTCAAGCGCGTAATCGGCATCGAAGTGCAGCGGGACTACGAACATGGCACACTAGCCATATCGCAAGGACCCTACGCGAGAGATATCCTACAGCGATACGGAATGGAACAGGCAAACCCGGTCAGCACCCCCGGGTATGGAGCAGAACTATCAATCGAGCAGCCACAAGACCAACTACTCGGACCCGAGGACAAGCAGAGATTCCAGGC